AAATGTAGTAGGGTCGAACCATTGCTTTATGGGAATAGTTGAGGTGCATATAAGTTGATTCCAATACCCATGGATTATTTTTCTGTATTTGAATTCTAGTCTTCATAGGCTAATTTATGTTAAGAAGAAAATAGTAAAGATTAAACCCTCTCATTCAAGTGTTCGATAATTATTAGCATATAATACATTTTACATGGTCAATTGGGATCAAAACTAATAGGAAATTCTTTCTTAGCACAAAAAGGAAATGGCAGAGACGCAGATTTCTCACCCCCTCTGGTTTGGCATAGGCAGTTTCTTTCATCGATTCCTTCAGTGGACTAGTTGCAACTTGTAGGAAAGAGATGTGATCTTGGATGATCCTAAGTTTCATCTAATAACAACTCAACATACTATTAGAAAGGGAATAGAGATGAAAACAGAAGGATGTTCTGATGTAGAATATAGGTTGTAATATAAGCTTAGATATAGGGGATGGAGGAAGTTTTGGGAATGGAGAGGTTGGAAGGCTGCTACCCTTTGTACATTCTTTTGATATGAATACAGTTTCCCACATTTCCTCTGCTGAGTCCATTATATTATAAGATCCCTTTAACACGTAGTATGTGGATGGCTAACTTGCCTAATAGAGGCTTCAATAATTTCACAGAAATATCCTTCACATATCGTCCAAAAGTATTTGCCAAGATCTGTAACTATTTCATAGACAGATCCTTCATCTATCTAACTATTCAAAGAGCAAAAGGCATCATCATTAACAAAATGAAGAAAAAGACAGTATTAGTAGCTAGTTAAAGAAAAGTCCAATATTCTTGGTAGTTGGTCCTGACCTAGTAACCCTCAATCACGACCTTGATCACTATTTGAACTAATTCATTAAGGAACTATCCACTGCTACCTGTAAGAGGGTTTCCTGCCTAACACTTCTAAACATTTTGAATACACACAGAAGAAGTTTTGATAGGGGAAGGAAATAAGAATTAAGACTAGCCTTGATGCAACACATCTATTATGAATAACTAAAAAAAAAAAAAAAAAAAAAAAAAAA